TATATATATGTAACACACACACACACACACACACACACACACACACACACACACACACACACACACACACACACACACACACACACACACACACACACACGGTGCTTGTTCCTTGCTTCTGATTGGTCAAAGACGGAGTGAGGAGGAGTCAGCATGCTTATACATTGCCAGCAGAAGGAACCAATGGGAGATAGCGGGGAGGGGGAAGGGGAGGTCCATTGACCATGACCTACAGTGACCGTTGGTCATATATGATCATCCTATTTTTTACTTTTTTATTTATCATTAATACCATAATTGTTATCATCATCATTATCATTGTTATTATAATCATTATCATTATTGTATTATTATTATCATTATTGCTATAATTATTATTATCATTATTATTATTTTTATCATTATCATTGTTATTATCATTAACATTTTTATCATTATCATTATCATTGTTATTATCAATATCATTTTTATCATTATCATTGTTATTATCATTAACATTTTTATCATTATCATTATCATTGTTATTATCAATATCATTTTTATCATTATCATTGTTATTGCTATTATTATTTTTGTTGTTGTTGCTGTAGTTATTATTAATACTATTTTTTGTTGTTGCTGTTATTATTATTATTATTTTTGACGTTGTTGCTGTTATCATTATTACCCTTATCATCATTTTTCTCATTATTATTATTATCATTATCGTTATTTTTTTATTATTATTATTATCTTGTTACTATTATAATTTTATTATTGTTATTATCATTATCACTATTATTATTATTGTTGTTGTTGTTATTGTTGTTGTTCTTCTTCTTATTATTATTATCATTTTTATAATTATTATTATTACTATTATTATTATCATCATCATTATTATTGTTATCATCATTATTATTGTTATCATCATTATTATTATTATCAATACTATTATTATCTTCATTATTACTATTATTGTAGAAATGTCTCCTGAATACAGAAGAACCTCATTGATGGCCAGCTGGCGGACCTCTGCGTGACCTTTTGTTTAGAATTAGTGATAGATGATTAATAGGGGCCATAACGGGCCAGCGTAGGTCAGTCCTCTAAGTGTTCAGTCATCTAATGACAGCTAGGGGAGGTAGCTGACATTCCTAACTATGCATAAAATTTTTTTACTCACCCTCAGTCAGGAGAGTCGGTGAGTCAGGGTCATAGAGACAGAGACAATGAGTCATGGTCTGTGAGAGGCAGGAAGAGAGAGTCAGAGAGGAGACATACACAGAAAGGTCAAAATTGGTCATGCGATAAGGTATTCGCTGAGATCATGATCATTATCATTGTAATCATCATCATTATCACCATTATCGTCATTATATCAACAACAATAAGTGCAGTGCTAAGATATTCACCTTTAACACCATCATAAACATGTGGTTCTAAAAGGTGCAAAATATTTAATTATCGCCCCTGCTGTTTTTAAGAAAAAAAAATCATTTATCACCTTTTTCCCTCCAGCAGATGTCATCATCTCCCCTAAGAGCCATAACAATGCAGGCCGGTTGGCACTCCCTCCTTCGGCGCGGCGGCGGAATCATGAGGGACAGTGCCAGTCTGATGTGGACCTCAACGCGCGTTGGGACGACCCACGTGAGAGCCAGGCAAATGGCACTCTCCGCCGCGCCTGCTCTGTATGTTCCTGCCTTCGTTATCTTCCTGTTCCTGCTTTCTTTATCTTCCTGTTCCTGCCTTCTTTATCTTCCTGTTTCTTTTATAGGATACGTCTAAAATACAAGCTTATTTTTTTCGGTTAATTAACGGAGTTCTTATTACGAACAAATACTACTTGAGATTCGAATGTCATTGCATGTTTTAATAAGGCATTTAAGGTGTTTAAACTCAATTATATCAAAATTATTGCTGATAGATATGTTATGATATAAAGCAAGCGTCCACTAGTTATTTTCCGATAGAGTTGTCCTTCACAAACGTCCTAATATATGATCATAAACGTTAGTTGTACTCGAAATAAATTCTATACTCGGTATCAGTGTAGTATTTCTGAATGTAAAATTATTTTCTCGTGATACCCAGGTGCGGCAACGTGCTCAAACGTCATATTCATGCGTCGCCGTCCGTGACCCCTGACCTGAATCGACCTCGGACGGAACTAGCCAGTGCGAGCCAAGGTCACAACGCACTCAAGGTTTGTAGCTGGTGCATTAGGATGACATTTTTAGCGCACAGGTTTCACATATACAGTTCTTTTTACAATGCAATGCGCGCGTGTGTGTTTATGTGTATATATATATACATACATACATACATACACACACACACACACACACACACACACACACACACACATACATATATATATATATATATATATATATATATATATATATATATATATATATATATATATATATATATATATATATATATATAAGCATATATATATATATATATATATATATATATATATATATATATATATATATATATATATAATATTTATATATGCATATATATATATATATATATATATATATATATATATATATATATATATATATATATATAATTATATATATATATATATATATATATATATATATATATATATATATATATATATATATATATGTATATATAAACATACATACATATATATACACACTTATGTATATATGGATGTATATATATATATATATATGTGTGTGTGTGTGTGTGTGTGTGTGTGTGTGTGTGTATGTATATAATTGACAGCGTGTGTGATAGACAGATGGATTAATAGATATGTTCAAATACAGATCCGGTGGCGTGGCGGAGAGCCGGACGAGTTCCCGTACGTGTGGCTCCGCGACAACTGCCTGTGCTCCGACTGTTTCCACCGGAGCGCCTCGAGCCGCCTGCTGAGGGTGGCGGACCTCTCGATGAACGTCCGCCCGAGGGAGGTGCAGGTGAGCCGGCGCCACGGACCAGCGAGTACAGAGTGGGAAATAGAATGTGTGAATTTATATAGATATGAATATAGAGACACTGCATAGCATACACACACACACATACACATACACACACACACACACCCACACACACACATACACACACACACACACACACACACACACACACACACACACACACACACACACACACACACACACACACACACACACACACACACACACACACAAACACACACACACAGTATATACACTTTAACTACTCACAATGCTACACTTACAACAAAGTGATCTCTTAAAATCCACAGGTATCAGATGACGGGGATTTTCTTAAAGTTGTGTGGGAAAACGGACACGAAAGTACATACGAAGCTGATTGGCTGAACGAACGAGCCTTTAACACGCGCCAGCAAAGTGTTTACAATAATACGTACAGGTAAGTAAATATAAGCTTTTAGTATATGGACATCACACACCTTGTTTCAACTATTAATGTTTGTAACAGTAAACATCGTGACCTCATACGGGGAGGTCGTGTGGTGCCCGTGCTCCGGTGCCCTCGTCCCATATACACGAATAACTGGTGTCATATATGAGGAAATTGTATAAGGAGTTTATGATATCTTTGTGCTCATATAACTCGCACCTCAGTGACATGAGAGTAGTACTGTGATAATAGTTATGTTTGTAAGGAAATTTGAAATAATTCCTCCACCGAGTGCCACGTAGTGCCGTGGTAACCGTTAGAGCTGAGTGCCCAGTTGTCCCGAGCGCTATATATCACCTGTCACGAGGCGGGCGAGCGGGGCGGCCCAGGCGCGGCGGTCACGCGGTCACCCCACGATGGGGGGAGACCGCAAAGTAAACACTGAGGGGGAGGACCCGGTGGGTAACTGTCCCTCCCCTCCCGCGGCTGAGGAATCCGCTTCAGTCCGTGCTGAAGGTGATCCTGAAGTGAGCAACAATGAAGGTGCTGAAGGTGATCCTGACGTGAGCAACCATGACGGAGGAAGCGACGGCTTCACAATAGTGAAGTCAAAAACTAAGAAAAAACGAAAGCCCCGCAGTGCTGGTAAGACACCATTGGCACCAATTAAGGACTATGTTCGCCTCGCCTTCCCTGACGACACTACGAAATCGGATAAAATTAAATGGCTACAGAATCTCGGCAACGTCTCACGGGCCCGGGGGGGTACCCCCCTCAACCTTGTGCGAGGAGACACTCTCTCCTCACCGTATGTTTATGTCGCACGCGCTCAACAAAATTATGTTGACGCCCTTATTGGAGGAACAATTGGAGGTATTCCCTTCAAACTTTGTGATGAGCACAAGAGACAGCAGAAATATGACGAGTACCTTGTGACCCACTACAGCAAGGATCTTGATCTTGAACATGCATATGCACTCGAAGGCGTTCATAAAGCCATTAGAGTGCACAAAGATAAGAAACCACTTAACCGTATACGCATCATATGGAAAGGAGAGCAACCACCTCCGAGTATATACCACTTCCTTGGGGAGTACATGCCCGCCAGCCACGTGAGACCGTGGAGGGCATCCCCCGTCATCTGCTACAACTGCATGGAAAGTGGCCATGTAGCCAAGTACTGCAGGGACAAGGCGCGCTGCGCAGCATGCGGAGAACAGCATACTGCCAAGGAGTGTCCTCGCAGTGCAGCAGAAGAAGAGAGTACAGCAGAAACACCGGCTTTCGTCCCATCATGCTTCAGGTGTGGGATGACAGGTGTGACTGCCTGGCACTGGGGGTGCACAGGCCTCCCTGCCCTAGCCCCTCCCGCCCCACCCCCTGTGGCCCCAGCACCGACCGCGAGTGACCAGCGAGGCCCTCCCAACCCAGCCCGCGGCCAGGGTGCCGGGGAAGCGCCAGACCGTGCCCTGTGTGACGTCACCAGCCGCAGAGATTTCCCGCGGCTGCCGGCGAGTGGGGCTGCAGAGATCACCGAACTACGCGACATGGTTGCGCAACTGGAGGAGAAGGTGAACAAGATGATGCTGATCCTCACAGAGGGTGGCTCGGGCCTCAAAGCTGCCACACTCCCTGAATTAAAGACCACGCCCCCCCTCCCTCCCCAGGAGCCAGCTGAGGCATCCGTCCCTCACCCTCAGGCAGGGATGACCGCAGGCCAGGCGGGGGAATCCCCCGCACAACCATGTAACAGAAGTGACGTCACGCCAGCTGACCAAGGCGACGTAAATGTGATTGAAATTCTAAAGGAGCTCAAGGGTCTGAAAGAACAAAACAATAATTTAATTAATGAAAATACGAAGCTGAGACAGGATATGGAAAAAAATAAAAGTGACTGTCAATGCCGTGATGCTAGTGTTGCCATTAGTGCTGAAAAAACGAACGTGGTGAATCGATGTCAGACCGTCAGTGCTGATAACCAGAGTGGGCGTGTCAGCGCTGACAGCCGCCACGAACAATGCCAGAATCTCTGTGACACCGAGTCCAGTGACGCAACCAGCCCCCCAGGTGCATCTGGCACAACAGCCGAAGGGCCTGTGCTGAGAAGTGGAACAAAGCTAAGACCAAATGTTTGAAATGGTTGAAAATACTTTTAAGTTTAAGATTACCATCTATAATGAAATCCATAATCATAAAGCTATATGTTTCTCATGTCAATATATAATTCGCAATATTATAGGATATTTCAGCATGAGGTACAGATTGCCTAATAGAGCACTATTCACATATGGATAAACGCACAATTAAATTTATATCATGGAACATGCGTAGTATAAAGCCTAGGCTGAATGACCTAGAGTTTTATATCCGTAAACATAATACTGATGTTATTTGCGTGCAAGAACCTTTTGCTGCTGCTGCTAAGATGAAGATAGCACCTGCAATTCAGGGATATTATTCATATGTGAATACAGCCATGACTGGATTGTTGACATATGTAAAGGTAACACTGCCACATAAATTAGTTAAAAAATCCGAGAACACTGATGTTCAATTTCATCACTTAAAAATTCAGACTGCCAGTGGGTATTTTTCACTGTATAATGTATATGCCAGATACTCCAAATTTCTGGCTAGCTCTCTCCCCAATTTTCGCAACCAAAGCACGTTGTGTATGGGCGACCTCAATGCAAGGCATCCGCACTTTGGAGACAAGCAACGTAACAGTAATGGGGAAGAATTCAAACATTTTATCAGTAGTAGATCACTAACAGTATATGATACAGAAACAGAGACTCATTTGGGAGGTGGCAGGTTAGACTATGTATTTGGCAGGAATTTAGTTCATGGTAATATCTGTACTTCACTGGTGCGAGAGTTAGTTAGTGACCACTTTGCAATCCGAACAGAATATACTGTAGACAGCGACTCAGCCCCTAAATCACCCAGGCTCAGAATAATCATCCCACCGGGCCTGGAGCATCACTTCAAGGCACGGATTTATGACTGGTATAACACCTATGAAGTAACAACAGTTGAAAATTTTTCTCAGGATCTAATCAAAGTGGTCACTGACTACTATAACACATGGGTCTGTTCACGAAAACTCTCAAAGAAAAAGAGGCCCCAGGCCTCCCAGGTACCGAGGTGGATCAATGACCCAATTCTAGCCAAGGAACATCAACGGGTTCAGGAGCTTGCTAATTGTTATAAAGATGATAAGACGACAGACAATCTTCTGCAGTTTCTGAAAGCCAACAAGGAATTCAGAGAATTAAAAATTCAGATTCGTAGTAAACACTGGGAAAAATTCTTGCAAAGTATCAATAGTCAAACTTCTGTAGCTGACGTATGGAGGAAAATTAATAGGCTAACAGGTAGAGCTCCCACAACACCGCAATTCCACAGTCCACAAGAACAGGCTAACATGCTGTTAGAGCAGTGGGCTGGAAATTCTCAGTTACACTCACTCCCACAAGGGATAAAAAATCAGCTCAACAAGTCGAAAATAGATAGAAATTTTAATATAGCAATAGCCTGTGCTGCCATTGACCCCTCCGACTTTGTCGAAATAACCGAGTGGGAACTGAGCAATGCCCTTCTGAAAGGTAAGGCAACCGCCCCAGGCGAGGACGGCATTACTTACAGCGTCCTTCGCCACATTGCTCAGGTGCCAGGCAACCCACTTTTACACCTGTATAGACTCAGCCTATCACAAGGAATCCTCCCAAGCTCGTGGACTGAAAGCTTAATCATTCCTATACCCAAACCCAATACAGACAAATACAGACCCATTTCCCTGACCTCCTGTCTGTGCAAAGTACTTGAGAGAATAATTCTGAACAGGCTCATGTATCGCATAAATGCTAAGTTATCCCCCAGACTGTTTGGATTTCTCCCAGGGCGTAGTAGTCAGCACTGCTTTGCAGAGTACTTAACAAACTCAAACCCAGGCATGCAAACCGTATTCCTTGATCTCAAATCTGCCTTTGATATTGCAAATAAGGAAATTATCCTTGAGCAACTAGCTAGCTTTGGTATTCAGGGAAAACTGTTAACATGGATTCAAATGTATCTGTCAAATCGATCGGCTCAGGTTCTCTTCAGGGGCATTAAGAGCACTCATGCAAAAGTATTTGAACTCGGCACACCTCAGGGAGGCGTACTTAGCCCCATGCTATTTAATATCCTAATGCATAGATTACTGGGCGATATACCACTTGCAGGCAATGACTCCATTATTTGCTATGCCGATGACATCTGCATTAAATCCTCATCTGAGGAGAGAATGCAAGAGATTCTTGATATACTATCTGCAAGGGCTACTGAGTGTGGCTTAATAATCTCAACTGAAAAAACCAAGGCACTTAACCCAAAGACAATCCCTCTGCCAAGGTTTCATATTGGTGGCGTTGAGCTAGATCTCTGCCATCAATACAGATACCTCGGGGTGATTGTTAATGATTCAGAACTCATCAGAAACCTGAAGAAAAGGTTATGGGAGCGGCTGAAGCCACTTAGGACGCTTGTCGGCAAAGACTATGGTGTTAATGTCAATATTGCGAGACTCTTTTACTTGTCATACATAAGGTCGGTCATAGATTACCATGCATTGCATCTAGTATTGTTCAAGGAATCAGAATTGACTAGTTTAGAAAGTGTACAAAATGAAGCCATGAGGATCATTCTTGGTGCCCCTAGAACAACAAGGATTGTGAATATGAGAACAGAACTTAGTTTGCCTTCTCTTTATGAAAGAATATTATATATAAATACCACATTTAGTGTCAAATCAATTAGAGAACCCCTCCACTGTACAGAGTTCCAAAGACAACTAAAACACAGAATAGAAGAGCTAACTTTGAATGACAACACCAATTCATTATCAAATCCATGGGTACAAGTAACATGTAAACACTTAGCTCAGCTAAACATACCCATAACTAAGACCCTACATGGACGTTCTGTACCACTGTGGAAAATGTCTGACCTAAGTGTATACTATACGACTGCCCCCAAAAAAGACAGTGTCCCCCCTGCTATACTTAAGCAGTATGCACTTGCAATTATAAATGAGCATTTAGAAACTCTGCCCAATGCATATGAATGCTACACCGACGGATCCTTGCAATCTGGGATCAGAGCAGGATGCGCTTTTGTTGTATATAAAAACAGCATTTTGCAGCACCAGGATTGTAGGAGGGTTCATGACTGGGCTAGCACTTCACAAACTGAGTTGGCAGGAATACTCATGGCCACCGAATTTCTATTGAATCAAGGCTCAGGGGTCATTTTCTGTGATTCACAGAGTGCTCTCCAGGCTCTGAACACTCTAGACAAAGGTGCGGGAAATATTGCAAATGACATCAGGATAAACGTGTATCGTGCAAAAGAACGAGGCCATAATATACGTTTTGTGTGGATCCCATCGCATGTTGGAATCCCCAGGCATGATCATGCTGATCGCCTAGCAAAGTCAGCATGTGACAAACAAAGTGTGGATATAGATCTTGGGTTACCTCTTTCTAGGATTTTATACATCATCAAAGCTTCCTTCAAAGAGGACTTGACTGAATTAATTAATTCTCAACGCCCCGAAAGCTGTAGCATAAAGCACTATGACCGGTTTAGACAAGATTCATTCATCTATGGTTTATATAAAACAAGAACAAGACAGTGTGATGTTGTGACTGCAAGAATCAGGCTTGGATATAGAATTTATTGGCAGGTCAGTACAGCTTGTAATGTCGAAGAAACTAAGTGTAAACTGTGTAATGAAGAATATAAGCGAACACTTGTACACTATATCTCAGAGTGCCATGTGCTACAGCCTTTCAGGCCACCTAGCATGAGGTACAGAGAACTATGTAACTATTTCATATCATCTGATGTCTTAGAAGATATAATTATGTTGTATCCCAAATTTGGAATGTAGTATCACATGACTGCTTATCAAATGTATTAATACTTTTCCACGCCCAAGCTATATGTCGGTGTGGTAGATGAGTAACTAAAGGACTGTGCAACTGTTTCCCTTCCTTGATTTGACAAAGTACTTATTATCATAACAATGTTATAGGATAATATCCAAGTGTAATACCATTATGTAATGTTATGACCATGCATCAAATGTACTACAGCTTGCCCACGCCTGTGCAGTTAGCCAGGGTGGTAAATAAAGGACTAAACTAAAAAAAATTGGCGAAGGAAGCCTGCAGCAAAGACACTGTGAACATAGATCTTGGGATGCCTCTTGCTAGGGTTGCACATATATTGAAAAGTTTTCATAAGGAAGAACTAGTAGATCTGACGAACGTTCAAAGGCCTGAAAGCTGTACCATAAGGCACTATGATCAGTATAGAGATAGCAAGCCCTCCTATGGGTGGCACCGAAGTCGAACCAGACAATGTGACGTGGTTATTGCCAGAATACGTTTAGGTTACAGAATGTATTGGCAACTGCACGGTGCAAGAAGTGCAGATGAATCTAAATGTAGACTGTGTAACGAAGAAAACAAGCGAACGCTTGAGCATTATATATCGGAATGTCATGTGATACAGCCTTTCAGACCACCTAACATGAGATATAGAGAACTATGTGAATATTTCATTTCATCTGATACACTGGAAGATATACTTGTATTATATCCAAAATTTACTATGTAAAGCTGCCGTAAACAAAAACAAAAAAATGGGTGGCACCGAAGTCGAACCAGACAATGTGACGTGGTTATTGCCAGAATACGTTTAGGTTACAGAATGTATTGGCAACTGCACGGTGCAAGAAGTGCAGATGAATCTAAATGTAGACTGTGTAACGAAGAAAACAAGCGAACGCTTGAGCATTATATATCGGAATGTCATGTGATACAGCCTTTCAGACCACCTAACATGAGGTATAGAGAACTATGTGAATATTTCATTTCATCTGATACACTGGAAGATATACTTGTATTATATCCAAAATTTACTATGTAAAGCTGCCGTAAACAAAAACACAGAGTTTTGTAAACACAGTGGCAAAAGCATATTAACGTATTATTTTTGTATGATGTATGACATATTTCTATATTACCATGTACTATTACAGTAGTCACAGACTACTGTACTGTGACAGATATATGTAAAGCTGTAATCATGATTGCCCACGCCTGAGCAGATAGCCAGCGTGGTAAATAAACTTACTTACTTAACTTAATGTTTGTAAACGAAGTGGAAGAAAAGAGAGAATGGAAGAAATGAAGAGGGAATGGAAGAAATGAAGAGGAAAAAAAGAGAAAGCAAGAAGGAAGAGAAAGTAAATAATGAAATGATATAAATATAAGTTAAACTAATTAAGGATATCACATGAATCAGAACATTATAAAGGTTCGTAAGTGTTCAGGAACTGTTCAAGACACTGTGAATACTTATCTTAGGAGATGAATAAGAAAGAGAAACAGAAGGAAAAAGAAGAAAAGAAGAAACGAATAATGAGGATGAAAAAGAGAAAATAAGAAAATGACAATAAGAGGAAGAAAAAAAGAGGAAAAGAAGAAGAAAATTAAGAAAAACAAGAGGAAAGGAAGAAGAAAAAGAAACAAAGAAAAGAAGAAAGGAAGAAGAAGAGGAAGAAAAAAAGAAAAGTAGAGGAAGAAAAAAAGGAAAGCGGAAAAGAAGTGGAACAAAAAGAAAATAGGAAAAGAAGAAGAGATAGAAGATAAGAAAACAAAAAGAACAAGAAAATAAGTGGAACAAAATAAAAGGGGAAAAGAAGCGAAAAAAATAAAATAAAAGAGCAAAAGAAGAAGTGGACGAAAATCTAAAGAAAAGAGGAAAACAATAAGAAAAAAAAGAAAAACAAAGAGGAAAAGAAGAAGAAGAAACAGAAAAAAGAGGAAAAAAAGAAGAAAAAGAAAAAAGAAAGGGGAAAAGAAGAAGAAAAATAAAAACAAAAAAGAAAGAGGAAAAGAAGAAGAAGAAAAAGAAAAAAAGAAAGATGAAAATAATAATAAGAAAAAAATAAAGAAAACCAAAGAAAAGAAAACCAAAAAAAACGAAAAACAGTCCTCGTCTCCCCTCATTCTCCACTGACCTTCTCTCCCCCCCAGACTTCGCCCAGAGCTTTGGGACTCGAACATGTCCCAGAGGATCCCTAGGGCCTCCTTCGACGAACTCATGGAGGACGACGCCGCAGTCCTGAAGCTCCTGGAGAACATGGAGGTCCTCGGGTTCACGGTGGTGTCCGGCGCCCGACAGGAGGAGGGGGAGCTGCAGCGCTTGAGCGAGAGGGTGTCGTACCTCGTTGCTTCGAACTATGGGTGAGTGTGTTGGAAAAAAACGGGACACGAGTTGACTGTTTTATTTATTTTTTATCTAGATTGCCGTACGCGTAAGAAAGTAGATACAGGAATGAATATATAGATAGATAATGATAAAAATAATATATGTATCTATATATTACATTATTACTTATTTATCTATTAATGATTATTTATCATTACTGTAAATTGCCGTAAGAGTAACAAAATGAATAAATTAATAAATAAATAAGTAAATAATAATGATAAAAAGGTAAAAAAAAATGGAATCGCTTTATTTATTATACGTTTAAAAACCGCATTTACGTGGAGGCCATGGCGTATGAATAGAACCATTTGCTGTGAATTTAAAATAACTTAGACGTCTCGAAAAAATCACATCTCTTCCTAATTTTGTCCTAACTGGACTAATTCATTTCTCTTATTCTGAGACTGTATGCAGCAGTGTGAAGATTTTGATATGGTTTTCTTACATATCAACTGAGGGAGTGCCTGTGTGCATCCAGAAAAAAGCTTGTCAACTTGTATTTCTGAAAAAAAAGTTGCAGTTGTCATTAACTCACTAGTTCTTGAAATATCTGAATTACAGAACGTAATTTTTGTTCAAGTCTGCTCCGTTTTCCTACTCATATAAAATTTCAATCTCGTTCCCTATTCACGCACGAATTGTTACAACTGTGTGAGCGAAACTTGGTGTAGATGATATTGTCACTTTCTTCCATAAGGCTGGTTAGACGATTTCCTTATGCTATTCTATTCTAGAACCTAAAAAAAATGTAGTTGAGCAACTTCCCAACAGTGCTGTGCTTGAAAGAAGTGTCATCCATGTCCGGTTTCCTAAAACAGAGAAGTTTGCACGGGCGGGGTCACGTAACACGTATGAGATCCGCATTCTATAAGACCTCCTCTGTGGAGACTTGCATTAGGGAGGAGACCAACTGGAAGGCCTCAGCTGAGCTCCAACGGTGTATGCAAATGTAATTGCAAGGCAATCGGCAGCGACATACACACCTGGAAAGCATTTACTTACATCATGAAGGATGAAGAGAAGTTAAACTAAAGGAAAATGCAGCCGCCCGGCACACATACCTGCCTCAGCTTTCGCCTGCGCCTTCAGCAGAAGAGACTGTCGCTCCTACATCGGCCTCCACAATCACTGCAAACGCTGTCCCCAGCCAGCTATTCGGGGCACAGCTTCGTAGTCCCTCGGATTGACATAATCATCATCATCATTGTCATTGTTATCATTACTATCATTGTTATTATTCTAAATATTGCCATTTCCAGAAAGCTACAAATCTGGTCGCTGCCCAACAATTTCTTCTGACACCGACATTAATATATTTTTAGTTAACTTTCTGACATGAGGCGGAAGTCATTCACCATTTTGTAATATATATATATATATATATATATATATATATATATATATATATATATAAATATGAATATATATATATATATATATATATATATATATATATATATATATATATATATATGTATATATACATACATATATATATATATATATATATATATATATATATATATATATATATATATATATACATACATATATATATATATATATATACAGATACATACACACTTCTTCCCATTTTTCTTTTTCACTATATTATAAAAGTAATGAATTGAGTTTCTTACGTTCCCACAGGACGACCTTTATTGTTAAGGATAAACGTGATGCGAGCAATGTTGCTTATACTAGCCACGGACTTGACTTGCACTGTGACTTGGTCTGTCTACACTACAAGCCTTGTGTAAGTATCCCAAAAGTCTCCTTTTACTTTCAAAGAGGCCATACTAATAAAACAAAACGCAATTTTAATCTGGATATAGATTTAATTTCTTCCTAGTTTCCTTTTTAGAGATCTAATATACGTATATCTTCCTTTTTTATGCAGTTTTAAACTGAATATAGATTTAATTTCTTACTAGTTTCATTTTCAGAAATCTAAAACACACAAATCTATTGTTTTTTTTCTCGAGTGAAATTTATTTTAAACATGTAATAAGTATCAAAAGCGAACATTCTAATGTTTTTTTCCCTATAATTTCCACATAACTGATGAAAAATGGGATGAGGGTGATGGTGAGCTATTGCTACGCTGTCTATCTTTCCATCTGTCTATCTATCTATCTATCTATCTTTATATCTATCTGTCCTTCTTTCTATCCATCTTTCAATTTATCTGTCTGTCTACCTTTCTATCAATCTACCAATCTATCTAACACTTTCCGTCCACTTCTCCTTCCTGTTCCCGCTGCGACATAAAAAAAAACAAAAACAAGAAAAAGAACAAACTAAGAACCTCACGAAATAATTCTTTTACAAAGAGTTCCTCTATTCGTGTTGCAAGGTCCAGCTCCTGCATTGCATCACCCAGTTCTCGGGCGACGGCGGAGACTCCATCCTGGCCGACAGTCACCGGGTCGCCGTCCAGATGAAGGAACTTTACCCGCAGAAGTTCCGGTTTCTAACTGACATCCTCGTGAACTTCCGCGACGTCGGTATTGACGAAGGGTTCCAGTTCGACATCATAGCAAGAAGGCCCATGATCAGGTGAGGAAGAGCTGGACGAAGGAAGGAGCGTATTTGGGCGAAAGATTGAACGAGCTTAGATTTCCATCGTAGTGTTGAAAAGTCGATCCGTAAACCTTCTGGAAAATACGTGTTGTGTTTTGTGTTTAGCAAGTGGGTTGTCGCGTCGAGTAAATGAATTAACCCCCCCCAAAAAAAAATAAATGAACACTATATAAAAGAGATAATATATTTTCCAATCTATATAGAGAGTATAAAAGAGATATTCATATATTCAAATCTATAAATAAAGCATAAAGGATATATATTCTTAAATTCATAAGTAAAGTATAAAAGAGATATATATCTTTAAACTTATAAACAGATCATAAAAGATGCTTGAAAGGAATATATACAATAAAAGGGGTCCGGCATATAAAATATATAATTAAAAAAATATATCTAAGGAACTTTGAAACAATAAAAAAAAAACGTAAGTGTGACTCGAACTGTACATTCCAAGTTTGTTGAAATTTACTGTTGCTACTGTTGCACTGTTGATGATAATGGTGATGGTAGTGTTGGTGTTAAAGCTGGTGATGATAGTGTTGGTGTTAATGATGGTGATGATAGTGTTGGTGTTAATGATGATGATGGTGATGCTGGTGATGGTAATGATTGTGTTGGTGTTAATGATGATGATGGTGATGATAATGTTAGTGTTAAAGATGATGACGTTAATAATAATTGAAATGATCATGACAATAATAGTATTAGTAACAATAATGATGATCATGAAGATGGTGGCTATAATTATGATGGACTAATAATGATCTTAATAGTTTTATCAATAATGAGAATAACATTAATATTGATGATGATGGTGATGATAACAATAGCAATAATGATAACAATAATAATAATAACAATAATGATAATAATGATAAAAATAATGTAGACAAAAAATATATAAATGATATTGATGATGATGATAATGATGTTGACAACAACAAATAATAATAATAGTAATGATAATAATAATAATAATAAAAATAACAATAATAATGATAACATCAACATCAATGTTAATCATAGCAACAACTATGGGGGAGCATCGATAAAATCACTCATATCTCTACCTTTTTATACCACTTTTCATACCACTACCTTTCCCACAGCTTGTAAATAATCCCTTATATTTCTACCGTTTCGTCTCACTCCCCCCCCCTCCCCTAACCCTTGCAGCGTGAGACCCGACGGAGAGATCAAGACGGTAAACATGAGTACCTTTGGTCGCGACTCCCACTTCGGCGTTTCTCCGGAAGAGGCGGTCAGCTGGTACGACGCCTACCTCACCTTCTGCGATCTCCTGTACCGCCCCGAAAACTACATCACTTTCAAGTTGGAGGCCGGTGGGTAGTACCTTCATATTCTCATGGGGGGAGGTGGATTTTTTTAACACACGAATATGCCGTATTGATTCTTCAGGGGATGAAGAAGCACACACACGCGCGCGCGCACACACACAAACACACACACACACACACACACACACACACACACACACACACACACACACACACACACACACACACACACACACACACACACACACACACACGTAAACGCCCGCGCACACATACAAACAACACACACACACACGATAGATAGATGTATACACATAATTACATAGAAGCGATACATGTTGTATAAGATATGAAACAATTATACAAAAGTGGGTATACGACGAACTGTTTTTTTTTAGCAAAAAGATTTACGTCGAGAACAGATTTACAATACCACCAACAAATTCTTTACTTATGCAACCAAACTCTCGAAAGCTTTATCCTCCTAAACTTAAACTCTTAAGCTCTCCCAGTTGCCGCTCTTCCGTGATGCCGAATCCCACCCTCTCCCCGCAGGCGATATCCTCATCATGGACAACCTGCGCCTCCTCCACGGCAGAACGGCCTACAAGGACACCGCCGAAGGGGAACGCCGGCTTGAAGGAGGCTTCTGGGACTGGGACATGATGAGGTCGCGGCGCCGTGGCCTCCAGATGAAACTTGCGGGCTCTTCGTAGGCAAATCTGGCGGTCGCGTTTGGAAAAAAAAAGCGGCGGTTTTGGTCTGGAGAGAATTTTTTATTATTATTTATAGGCGGGGGTATCATTAAGGCTGCAGGAATTAATGTAGAGGAAAAAAAGAGGATATATGTAATTTGTATCCAGGAAAGGTGTAACTAGTAACTCACTCTTGCCTTTCGTTATATCTCTTTACATAATCAAAAAAAGAAGAAAAGAGTGTAATGTAGTAAAACTATCGTGTGTAAGTTCTAAAACTCCCCAACGTACATAGTCACAAGTATAAAGTGTCAGATGATTAGATTAAACAAACAAACAAACAAGCAACGGAAATACAATGGACAAACGTCTCATATGCCGGCAAATATATATGTATAGTAAATATATATATATATATATATATATATATATATATATATCGCTGTGTGGGTCCGGCTTTAGAATATAGTCCCACCGTATCCCCTGCGTGATCGTAAAAAGCGACTAAAAAGGGGTTGCGACAGGAAGGGCATCCGGCGTAAAACTTCTTGCCAAAATCAACAATGCGCGAATTAAAGACGCGCTGCGGCGACCCCGAATAGGGATGACGCTAAGAAGAAGAAGAAGAATATATATATATATATATATATATATATATATATATATATATATATATATATAGGGTGAAGCAAGAGGCTTACTGTTGAATAATAATAGCTAGAATGGGTTAAGAAGTACAAGTATTTGCGTATTACCTTATATGCTAACTGAAAATTGTATGGCATTGGGAAATTAAATGGAAAGTGTAATTGTAGAATTTGGCCATTACAAGCAATAACATGTAACAGGCTACGGGCACCCTTAAATGCTCTTAGACAAATGTATATTGTATATGTTAGGAGTTTTTTTTATTATTATGCTGTAACACTGCCCAGAACCAAAATAGAAAATAAGACCAGGTTCAAAGCAAAGCCATGAGAGTAGAGGCATGACAAAATTAAGAGATGAATTGATCTAATTTCAATAAGAGACAGAATACTTGAACACGTACGACTGACGGACTTTTCCTCAGGCACACAATCTTAGCTAACTGCCATCGTTAATCATTAATACTTAATAATAATCATTATTATTAATACTTAATAATGATACATTAATGCTATAATTAATACAATAACCATCAATACTTATAAATGAAACGCTTTTATTATTTGT